TGCCTGTAATACTTAATCTTTCAGTGAAAATTCACAATTTTCTATTTACTCTATTTAAAATTAACATAAAACTTGGAAGTTTCTTGGTAGATCAGCCTTAAGCATAACAGTTCATGACGCTTTATATAATAGTTCGATCCCTACAGCGGACACAGCGTTTATAACTCATTATGCAGGTTTGTGCTAAAAACGAAGTATATATATATATATATATAGAGAGAGAGAGAGAGAGAGAGAAATTGAAGTAGGTTAACAGATAATTTAGCAAACAATGGTGTTTTACACATGCACATGCTTCTCAGTGGCATAGCGGTATGTCTGCGTACTTACAACGCTAGAAACCGGGTTTCGATACCCGTGGTGGGCAGAGCACAGATAGCCCATTGTGTATCTTTGTGCTTAACTTGAAACGACAACGACACACACGCATGTTTTATCATAAAAACGTTTTCATCTGTAAAATGAAAATAAAAGTCGTACGTTTCTTACGTATGAAATTATATTAGTTTTCCTGAAAACTTCTACTGTCTATTCCTTCTGTACAGAACTGGAACTTTGGAATAGTGTATCGAAATTGCGAATAAAGTGATGCACACGATATTAGTTAAGTGAAAAATTCATCATCATTACAAGGCGACTGAACTTTATACCTAATTATACTTAAATAATAAAGAAAAAGGTCGAGCGTGGCTTAGTAGTTGACGTGCCATATTGGGAACAATAGGTCCAAGATTCGAGCCACGATGCCACTGAAAACGCTCCGCACATTGTGTTAGAAATGTAATAATCCAGTTCAAAGAGCAGGACAAAGCCCTTGTTTCGGCGAGTGCTCTTGATTTGCTGTTCTCCCTGTGCTCAGTAATTCAAACTTAGAAAACGTTATATTTGAACTCCATGGTTCTCTGACCTGGCCGTTTAGCTTATGTACACATATGACGCCATTCAGGTTGAAAACACCAATATCAGTACATCCTAAACTCGCATAGACTCGAATCAATAATTCAAACCTGGATACATAAATTTAAAGACACCTTTGCAGAAGAAAATTCAAAAAGAGATTTTTTTTTGTAATATGTTCTACAAATAAACGCCCTTAGACAACTACTAGAGAAGCCATTTACTTTCAGGCAAAAGTTATATCGTTAATCCAAAATCATACATTTAGTAATGTGAGAAATAACGGTTTGTGAAATTGAAAATGACAGAAAAACATTTCGTCAAATTATTAACACCCGATCTGCGACTCAATGAGCCAAATTCGAGGGATTGGCTGGGCTACAGGGGTGTCACTTTCGGTGTTCAAATTAAAAACAAAAAAGATGTATTGCAATAAAGGACACGATCAGTTAACCTAATAAAACACTACTGCCGAAAGAACTCACCTCTCAATAATGTTTAGCCATGAAGATAAATTAGCCGGACTGTGTTCCTCTTGCACAAAATAGTGTTCATGCTCAGGCATGTAAACTTTGTTTAGCCTACCTCGGCCAACTATATTGAAAGAACTCTCGAAAACCGCGGAGATAACGACTTTATAGAGTTGAGGAACCAGATCTTGTATTGCGCAACATGTGCAGCCACTGTCGTGGATTGTGGCTGTAGGTTTTACTCCTTCATAGCCTGAAAACCAGTGCGAATTCAGCTACGCTGGTTGTCAATTCATAGTACAGATATCGCAAGGAGTTCAAATATCTATTCACAATATTTTTAAAAAGGCTGTTCCGGAAAGCTTTGTTTGTAAATTAACTCACCAAATATGTCTACCTGACTTGCAGACTGGGTGTTAAACAATGTTTAAAGTATATAAGGAGGAACTATAAATTGGATTTATTTACAACATTTTTAAAATGTAACTTTTCTTTCTTAGGGTTTCCTTCGCATATACAAACAATTTTTTCCTGAAGGAGACCCGGCTACTTTCGCATCTTTGGTGTTCAGGGTGTTCGACGAAAATAAGGTTGGTTGAATGACGTTTGATCATAAATAAACCAGGATGCTTGATTTCGAAAGTGATACAGTGTGAAAGGCACTAACGAGAAACAAAATTTTAAAATAATATATGTTTTCAAGTTAGAAACAATAATATTTTTACAAATTCTTCATGCAAAGCATGAAACGTTTAATTTAAATTGTCTGTTTGAATATCATATAGCGATGGTTCTTAAACTTTTCAGGCTCACGTACCAGTTTTTGTTGAAACTTTTCTTTTAAGTACAAACACAGACCTGATTACAAAAACAAAAAACTAGTATTTTGATTGCCCTTTAATGGGAAGGATATGATCGTTTTTTCTGGCACAATTAAAAAATATGTGGTGCAATTTTTTCTCAATTTGAAGGGAAGAAAACACTGACTAGTCTGTGCAGGCGGAGGGCTAGTCTAGAAGTAAGGATAGTAGTGTGGATATTAACGCGGGAAGCTCCAATTGGGCTTATTACGAAATTTGTAATTTTTGCATTAATCTTTTTCGTGTACCACCGACATTACCTCCACCTAGTGTGCGAAGGGATCCAGACATTTTGTTACAAACATTTAGTTACTGGACATTTCGTGTACCACCGACATTACTTCCACCTACCATAGTGTGAGAAGGGATCCAGACATTTTGTTACAAACATTTAGTTACTGGACATTTCGTTACCGCCACATTGTTACTAGGACAACTTGTGACTGGTGCATTCTTGTTACATCGTTTTGTGGCATGACAGTTTGTGTTAAGAGTGTTGATATTGTGACAGGTAGTTTTTTAAATATAAAATCGTTACATCGTTTTGTGGCATGACAGTTTTTGTTACGAGTATTGATTTTGTTTTGTTTGTTTTGAATTTCGCGCAAAGCTACACGAGGGCTATCTGCGCTAGCCGTCCCTAATTTAGCAGTGTAAGACTAGAGGGAAGGCAGCTAGTCATCACCACCCACCGCCAACTCTTGGGCTACTCTTTTACCAACGAATAGTGGGATTGGCCGTCACATTATAACGCTCCCACGGCTGAGAGGGCGAGCATGTTTGGTGGGACGGGGATGCAAACCCGCGACCCGCAGTTTGCGAGTCGAGCGTCCTAACCACCTTATAACAGTTATAACTGTTTTAAAGCTCGTGGATGATCAAGTGTTAATTCCAGCAAAATTGCAGTAATGTTACAGTAGGTGACTCTTTTAAATTCTCAACAATATTGTGTAAAACTTTCGGTTTTTCTATAGAATTTTGATGTGATCAGCATATGACATATGTAGTCATAGTGTGAAGATTATTGTCGTATAAGTCCAAAAATCATAACTAAGATACTTTTACACTTCCATCTGAGCTCCTAAAATCAACCATCTTTGAATGTGTATTAGGGTTGAATCATCGTGTTATTTGAAGTCGTGGAGATAAAACGTGGGTAACTGGTAAATGACAGCAGTCCAAAGAAGTGCGAAATGGGTTGTGGGTTATGTATTTAATATATATGCATAATCCGTCGACTAATCAAAATGTCTAACAACGAATAAATAAGACAGTTTGGGCAAATGAGTGTTAACTCCAATATTACTTCGTCAGTATTTACCCAAACTGTTTGCTTTATGGACAAAAATATATTTAGTGATCACTGGTTGTAGCAGTTGGGTTATTATGATCTTTTATTGGTGAAAACTTTACTGTTTACAAACAGATTATTCTTTTTTAAGAGACAACTTAGTAAGAACATTATAGTTACGGTTATAGATTTTGTTTAGATAAGAGTTAATTTAAGTATTTTAAATAAAAGTCCTTACAACAGAAGTTATGTATCGTTTTGCTGTTATTAACACTTGTTGCAGTAGTAACGTCTGTGCTAAACGCTACTCTAGAATTAAAGTTAATTTATTTTGAAAAACTTTACAGACATCTTTGTGCTACGATTTACCTCAAGAACAACCAAAGTGTTAAACACTGGAGTAACTATGCCGAAACGTTGCCGTATAATCCTACCGAGGAAGACGCTTTACTCAAAGTAAACCTGTGCAAATCAATAAAAGATCACAAAAAACGTTCATATACAAAGTGACTAAAATAGGTATACCATTTCATAGCGTTGTTGTGTCGAAGCTACTAAGTATAAGATGGTACCATCACTCAGGTATGATAGTAAGAAGTAACATATGGGAAATCACTTGTAGCAGTTATAAAATCTTGCAACAAGGGGCGTCAGTGCTGCATAGTTCGTGTTGAAGTCATGCCAATGGCTAATAAGTATACCCGCATCTTTCACAGTGTATTGTAAATGGGCATTACCGCTACCAGCTCTGCTTCATTTGGTATGGACGCAAACTCTTTCGGATAAATTTTATGATTGCGAGTGTAATTATTCATAAACTGAAAAGGAGATAAAACCCTGACTGGGCCATAAAGCTAAAAATTTGGGTTTAATTAGTGTGGTAAGCACAGCATTCTATAGCCTTGTTTTATTACTTTTCTACTCAGAAAGCGAATGTACTTAAATACATAGTGTGGGTGTGTGAGTGTATGGCCACAAAAACAATAATTACTTTACATTACAACATAATGATACATCGACACCGAAGATTTGAACAAAATAATCGCGTGAATAGTTTGTCTATTGTGTTTGAAAGTATTCTCCTATTTAATTGGGGCGTATATACCAACTGTAAACCCTACGAAGTTGGCTTGTGAAGTTAAATGAAGATTTACTATTTGGAGATGTAGAAGCTGTGGATGGTTCGAAGTTGTTGAATGACTTAAATAATATATTTAATGATACTTACCTCTGAGTGATGACTGTAAACTGTAGATAAAATCAGATTACTTACGTATTTAAAGAGATTCACAAAAGTAGTTGTAAAATATGCTTATTTAATCATGAATTTACGTATTGTATATATATATATATATATATATATATTCTACATTTATAAAAGGACTGGGCGTTGCCTAGTGATTAGCTTGAATAGTCGGGCTCTGAATTGAAGAATCTGGAGCTAAAGACGTTCTGCTCTGAACGTGCACAGGACTTTCAGTTATGGGCGAGTTATAAAGATGACACTTTATTTATTTATTATTCGATTCAATGAGCCGAACAAAGCAGTAGTGGCGACGGGTGCTGCCAACTGGATGCCTTCCCTCTAGTCATTAGTTTAAAAATAGGGAAGGCTATGGTGAAATATTATAGGCCTCTGATTTGGCCGTTTAACCCACGTACATACAAGGTTTATTTCTTTGTTTAAGAAGTTTTGCGTAAAGCTGCACGAAGAATTATCGGCGCATTGCTGTCCCTATTTCGAATTGATAGACTATCGGGAAGAAAGCCAGTCAACATCACTCACCATCAACTCTTGGGCTACTCTTGTCTGACCGCATAGTGGGATTTGATCGACGTATTTTTAGCGCACCCACTGCTCCAAAGTACGAAGCGCATTTATGCGACGACAATCCCAAACCAAGACCCCTCAGGAGGCTCGTGCGTAAGGTGCCTCTGTGTCAGAAATTCTAACTCCTGTGTTAGAAATAAGCATTGATTTTATAAATTAGATCAAATATCATCAAGCGGTTACCATACCAAACTGTGAATCTGAGGGTTCTGGCTCGCTAACCGTTGCCCAAGAATTGCGCTGCTCACGTTGGAGCTGTGGGTGCGTTATAAGAGTCACAGTTAAATCCCACTAATCGATTAGACTCATTTAGAATACCCAAGAGTTGGCGGTGGGTGATGTTGAAAAGTTAGTTTCCTCTAGTTTATCCGTTCAAAATTAGGATTAGCGCAGATAACCCATGTGCTGGTTTACTTGAATATCCGAAACAACAAAATCAATCTGCCATGCTTAGATGGATTTCTTTGTAACATATTCTATCCACATCTGTTGCTACATCGCTATTAAACAATGCATATGCAGTTATGAAAGTTTCAACAGAAAAATGCCTGATGCAAATCAAAGTATTATACGATTAGACGTATTACTATATTATGGTTCGACACTCAGAATACAGTTATATTTTACTCAATAACAACAAAAAATATTAAGTTTATTTTAAAAGCCCGCCGTTAATTCACTTCTTTTCTCCATGCAAAATTTTTTTGCCAACAGCCAAACCATTTAACACTATCGTGCACTTTACAGTTACTGTCCAACTGGCAAGTATCGTTAAAAAATAGGCAAATCGTTTAACACTATCATATACTTTACAGTTTCTGTCCAACTGGCAAGTATCGTTAAACAAATAGGCAAATCGTTTAACACTATCGTGCACTTTACAGTTTCTGTCCAACTGGCAAGTATCGTTAAACAAATAGGCAAATCGTTTAACACTATCATATACTTTACAGTTTCTGTCCAACTGGCAAGTATCGTTAAACAAATAGGCAAATCATTTAACACTATCGTGCACTTTACAGTTACTGTCCAACTGGCAAGTATCGTTAAACAAATAGGCAAACCATTTGACATTTTTATATGGCTTAGTTTATTTTCCCTCTATAACTGAAATTGATTAAAAGTAAAGGTATACAATTTTTACAATTCACGAATAGTTAATTTTTTCAACCGGTTTTTGGTTTCGAAATATAATAAAGTACATCAATAAGGATGTCATATTTTCACATACTTACAAACATTCTTATTTATGACATAAGTTAGATATACATGCTCTCTAAATGCAGATTTATAATTATTAGACCGTATTTTACTGATATAGTAAATAAAACGTTCTTCTTACCCGCATATTTTCAACACAGAAATCCTTTGTAAAACAGTCGTCGCAAACAATATTTGCTAGATTGTAGGTATAAGCTTTTATGTCCAAATTTTCAAAATACGACTGCGTATCCATCCGAAACATAATTTGTTGTTCTGTTTTCGGACATGGAAAGGCAGAAAGTATGATTTTATGCTTCGAAATTTGTTGTTTAGGAAATTCATGCACTGAAATTAAAGGTTTGCAATAAAATTCACATTATCAATGTATAAAGATCACACTTTAAT